ATACCTCAGTTAAAATGCTAAGCTGTGTATTTAAGGCCAAGTGCTCAATTCTTTCCAGATTTACTTGACAGTGCTGAAGTTATTCCTTGTTGCAAGCTCACACACGTGAAAGCCAGGCAGTGCAGGTGGGTCCAACATGCAGCTGATAGAGTCAGTGAGGTTGGAAAAGACCTCCAAGATCACCAAGTCCAATCCCAGCCCCACCATCCCCATCACCATGTCCCTCAGTGCCACGTCTCCACTGGGTGGCATGTTTCCAACCAGCTGAGCATGCTCTGATATCTCAGAAGGTGGTGAGGCACTGGAACAGGTTGCCCAAGGAGGCTGTGGATGCCCCATCCCTGCAGGCATTCAAGGCCAGGCTGGATGTGGGCAGCCTGGTCTGCTGGTTGGTGACCCTGCACACAGCAGGGGTTGGAACAGGATGAGCATTGTGCTCCTTTGCAACCCAGGCCATTCTGTGATCTCCAACATGGATTGATGTGAAAATGCGTCTCTGTTGCTGGTTAATTTGTCCCATGTGCAGAGATTTCAGTGGAACAGAGTCTGAAGGGATTGTTACATGTTACACTGTTTAGCAAAGCTTACAGCTTTGAGGGTACAGTTCATGTAAGGTCGTTCCATGAAAAGCATCCACGAAAAGCATTGATAAAGGACAGATGTTTTTAAAAATAGGAGTGGGAAACCGACTTCAAACAAAGGTAGGCATTTGAAATTGCACTGGTAAGATGTGAGAAGTGAATTTACTTGCCTTTTTTGTCTGGATAGCAGCTAGCTCAGTGTTCTGTTCAGCCCTCCACTGTGTAGCTGTGATGATGTTCTGACCTCAGATGAATGTTTTCAGTCCCAGATGTTGAAAAAAGATGAAACCTAAAAATATGGGAAAGCTTTTGGGTTTTTTTCTCCTTTTTTATTTCTGTGCTTGATAGGGCGTAAACTAGGGAGCCAACAAGACACAGATGCTGTGGGATGGAGGACGAGCCAAGGCAATTTCCTTTGTGAGCTGTTGCGTGTTTCCTTCCCTTGGGGCAAGCAACCTGCAATGCTGCATGCCCCCAGCATCCCCAGGCCTCTCCTTTACTCAAGGCAGGGTGGGCACAGAGCTGAACCAGCAGTTGTCTGTCTACATTAGTGAAGATGCAGCCATTTCAACCCCTTTCCTACTCTGGCACTGTGCGTTTATAAAGGTTTCCAATATGAAATGCGTCGACCACAGTTCCTAGGCTCCTGTACACCAAAGGAAAAGCAGGTTTGTTCTCCAGTAGCAGGTGATGAGGCAGGGGAATATGTGAGTGGAAGCAGAGGTCAGGCAGCCTGTTCCCAACAGCACTTCTTCAAACCCTATTAAAATTCATAATTAACTCTATCATAAAGCAATTCAGGCAGGGCCAATGCCCAGCTTGAAGGACTTACTGGGAACTGTGACTTCATTAAGAAAGCATTGGCAGCATAGCCCCAGGGCAGGCTGTGCAGCTCTGGGAGATGCTTCAAGAGAAATCAGGGCTTTGAGATTAATGCTCATAATTGGATTAGGAGAGATTGTAAAGTCACTGCTCAGTCACTGGGAAAGGATATTAGCAGTGCATAACTCATGTCCAGAGGAGTGCAGGCTGCTGTACCCATCGGCTGGGGGTAAGTCCTTACAGAAGCAAACAAACAGCTGAGATGCTTTCATTAAGGGTGGATAGTGATAGGACCAGGGGGAATGGTTTTAAACTGAGACAGGGGAGGTTTAGGATGGATATTAGGAGGAAGTTTTTCACCCAGAGGGTGGTGAGGCACTGGAACAGGTTTCCCAAGGAGGCTGTGGATGCCCCATCCCTGGAGGCATTCAAGGCCAGGCTGGATGTGGCTCTGGGCAGCCTGGTCTTCTAGTTGGCTACCCTGCACATAGCAGGGGTTGGAACTGGGTGATTATTGTGGTCCTTTTCAACCCAGGCCATTCTATGATTAAAATAGAAAATTTCTTTTCTCCCACTGACTGGCAGACACCTTATGAGTGGCACTTGGTTAGCACATTGATGAAAGACTTGTTAATATCTTTCTTAATGTCTGTTGAAGTGTTTTTTCTTATGTTATACATCGTTAAAGCATCACTGAAGAATGACTCAAACATTGGGGGGGGGCTGCTCCAAAAGTAATGCCTCCTATTTTATTATATTGACACACAATGTCAGAAGTGGATGTTGGTGGGATGGCAGTAGAGACTGAACCTTCCCACCAACAATCCACGACATTTATTACTGCCTGACAGATGGTAGCAGAGGTGTCTTCTGACCAAATGGTGCATGGCATGAAAATGCACAGGGAATAAAATTGTGCCATTGAAGACCCCAGTGCAGAAAAAAAATGGCACCCACTGGCATTCATCGATGCTGAACGTTTCTGGAGACCAACCAGGGGACGTGGCACAGTGAGATGGTGAGTGGTGAAGCATTGTGCAATGTAAGTCACCTTGGTCGGTGCAGGTTTTTACAAGCATGGCATGCAGCTCTTGTTCATTGCTGGTACATGAAAATGCACAGCTTGTGGTGATGACTGTGTTGAAAAAGGGTGTTTTCTAGCTGAGAATTCACTCTGCCAGATAGTGCCAGTGTGCTCTTTGTGGCTGTTGCAGTTTCCCTGGAAATAAACAGAAAGCATTACTTTCAGAGTGACCTATGTACAAAGTCATCTCTTGGTAGTGTAGGGCAACTTCAGTTACAGATCACAGAACCAGTGAAAGTCAGAAAGGGAGCAAGTAGGAAACAGCATTATGATTTTGGTCTCAGCCCATCGCTCCCACAGGAACTTCTGCTTTTCTCAGTCAGTAGCCTCAAGGTATCAGGCTATAGCTGAAGTGGTAGCTGACATTTTTATGGGCACTTTTTATCTAAGCAGTGTTTGAGCTGGTTGAGCCCCACCTGTGAGGTGAAACTGCGCCAGATGCTCATGCCTCCTGTTGACTGATCTGCTATAAAGCTATCCCAGCTTTGATCTCATTTTTGGCAAGCAGCAGTTGCTTTTTAGCTGCCCGAGCATGAGCAATGCTGTAGAACTGCATTTTTAAATATAAGAACAATGCCTTCCTCTCTGTTTCCTCATTTTGTGTGTGTGGGTTTAATCTTTAATGCAGCTTATGAGAAAATCAGCTTAAATGAAGGTAAAGTGCAAAGTTGTGCAGCTGATGGGCAGCATCCCTGCATCCTTCCGTAGTGCATAAGGGAATTCAAGCGTGGGCACCTGTCACTGTGTGCTTTAGGACCTCAGCCTGCACTCATTCCAGGGACAGGGCTCTTATTCAGGCCAGTATGGGCATGGAGGCACACTCAGTTTTCAGTTATGGTAAACCTTGGAGGAGGTGGTTGCTTGGTGCTGAGCTCTGGTTGCTCGGCCCAGTGGAAATGGAGGCATTTCTTTGGCTGGGAGCATTTTGCAGCAACACACCCATGAAAACTGCGCTCACAAATCCTTTCTTTATAGCTGTTCAGTAGCATCTTCACTCTGGGCTGCTCACATGACGTCATGTTTTGGCTCTGGCTACGTAGTGTCCCTTTATGCATGGTAAATGGAATGTTGTTGACTTGTGTGCAAGATGTTGCATCACTTTACCTTCCTAGCCCAGGCTGAAAGGCGCTGGTTGGTGCCAGCACTGCTCTGTGAGCTCCTCCAAAGGGTCAACTTGGCACAGCTGCTATTGAAATGGATTTCACAGAGATTTGCGTGGGCCAAGCTGCAGCCATTGTGCTTTTGTAGATCTGTGAGCAGCATTTCCCTCAAGTCCTGCCATGCAGACCTCTTCTTTTGGCAGTGTTAGAAATGGTTGCAGTGTTATCTGGCAATCCTTCTGTCCCTCTGTTCCTAGGGCCACCTCTGGCCACAGTCAGCAGGGTTACAGGAGACAGTTACTGCTCCTCTGCCTTTGCTGTTATCTAGTGTGTGGAACCAACCTGTATAAGAGCATCCACAAGCCCAACTGTGCCTGTGAAATTTAACTTACTCTTCCTGGTTTCCCTGCCCAACAACCAGAACATCCCAGTCCATGCTGGGGGAAAACAACCAGGTGAATCTGCTCCTTGCTGGGAGCAGTCATCAAATCAGTAAGGTTGGAAAAGACCACCACGATCCTCTGGTCCAACCACCAACCCATCCCCACCATTGCTGGCCCTACCAGCAATGCCTCGTTCAGAGCTGTGATTTTCAGCTGAACTGACAGACGTGGGCTGACCTCTCAGAGGGTGGATCAGCTTCATCCCGCCAGTGCTGCTTCTACCTACAGTCACTTCGGGCCATTTGTTTTTCTTCTGTGGGTTTCTGTCTGAGAGCAGCTGCCACGTGACCAGGTTCTGATCAGAGTGGTGATGTGTTGGCCGGGGGGTGGTGGGATCACCATCCCTTGGAGGTGCTTCAGAGCAGTGAGGATGTGGCACTGAGGGGATGTGGTGATGGGCATGGTGGGGTTAGCTGGATTTGGGGACCTGAGAGGTCTTTTCCAACCTGAATGATTTTATGACCTTAGACAAAAGCTATTTCATGGGAAATAATGCAGAGGATATATCTCGTGGTGAGTAGGAGCTTTACAGTGTTTAAAAGGCCCCAAGGGGAAATGAAATCCAAACTTTCCCATTGAATAAAAAGGCAAAGTGGGTTCATTTTCATGCTTTTTTTTTTTTTTTTTTTCCTTTTTTTAATCTTCTTCCCACAAATGAAGCTGTACAGCGATCATCAACCCTTGCAGCTTCACCCACCCATCCTGGGCTGCAGAGCCATAGTTCAAGACATGCAGAGCTGCAGCAGCCACGTGTGACAGGAGCTGGGAGGTCTCTGACCCCTGCGACCAGCAGGGTGGTCAAGGATTTTCCCAGCCAGGCTCCAGCCCTGTGCTTGTCACAGGTCCCATAGCGTGTTGCTCTGTGATGCTGTCCCTGTGCTGCTAGCAGCTGGCCTGCAGCCAAGCAGAACAACACCAGCGAATTAGCTGGAACCAGTGGGTTTCCACAAAACCCTTCCGTTTGCACAAAGCAGCATTCTCCCAGCAGAATCCATCCATCTCGTGGCAGGAAAATCCCCTCCGCTGCTGGTGTGGGGCTGTTCACTATATCCCACGTGTGCAACGTACTTGTTTTGCTGTCTGGGAGGGGATGTTGAGCCAGATTTCTTCAGTGGGCAGTGAGCAAGTGGTGTTTCTTCCTCTTCCTTTTTCTTCATGTGCATCCTATGCACAGAATGCTCTCAGGCAGGCTGCTTGGATGCGACTGCTTGAAACTCTCTCTCTAGAACCAGGAACATATGCGAGGCTTTTCCTTTCATTTTCCTGCTCCGGTTTTCTTTTTCTACAGCTGGTAAATACCTTCTCCTTACGCGTTACCTGGCCCAGAGGAAAATCCAGAGCTGCTGCGGTAAGCTGTGATCGGCACTAAATATCACTCAGCTGCCATTAAGCTAATGGGAGTGGGAGAGGGGTGTCTGCTTTTCTGTGCTGTTGTGCTCTGTTGAAACTCAACATGCCTTTGCAGATGTAGAACAGATTAATGTTTTGTGTTTGCCGGTACTCCTGTATGAATTGTTTGGAAAAGTTTCCACATACTTCTCACTCTTTTTAGTGGAAATGGTGTTTGTGTTCTTGAAATAACTTTGGCTGCTCAGAGAGCTGAAGGTGGTGCTGGCATTGTGGGTTGAAGATAGGCATAATTATACCTTTTGGTATTTACACCACTGCTGCTGGAAGCATCCCAACCCCTGTGAACTATTCCCAACTCCTTCCTGCGCTCATTCCCAACATAAGGATGCTCTCATTATATGGGAATCTTCAAATAGCTTTTTATACAATTAACAGTATCTAGGCTTGTCCTAATAGAAGGTGTGCTCACTAGGAGTGCTGTCAGCTGACGTTGCTGAGGTTTCTGTTCTTGGACAAGTAGTTTTTCTGGATTAATGCTTGCTCTTTTGGGTGCAGGGAGGTGAGTGCCAATTTATTGACATCTGCAGAGGGCAGATCCATCCAGCAATTTTTTGGTGCTTTCTTTATTATCATTATTATGTAAAGAACTGTTTTTGTATGTTTTGCACTGGGCCAAACTTCTGCCTATGTTGAAACACTCAGCAAAGCGTGTTCTGACACCTGTGTGTGAGGTGCAGGGGTTTGGGCTGCTGGTGGCAATGGCATCTCTGGTCACCATTTGGGATACGAAGAGACACAGATAGCAGATCAACACTCTGCTCCCTCCAAAAGCCCCAGAGCTGCAGGAAAACCACCTCTCCCAAAGGCAGATCTGTATCCCCAGGGATGCAGAGCTCGGGGATGAAAAGCCAAGCTGTGATACTGGTGGGACCTTGCAAGGTTAGGGCAGTAATAACAGTCCTGTGCATATAGCTCCCACTGCACAGTGGTGGTGCTGGGAGGCTGAGAGGGCTCTGCTTTTGTAACAACTTCTTTTAAAGTTTATATAATTCTCAAGCAACCCGAGAGCAAGACTGGAACTAATTAGTGCTGTCTTGGGAAGTCTGGTGCGTTGAGCTAGAAAGAACAAAATATGCAAAGACAATGCAAATCTGCTTCTGACGGTGAACACTGATGGGGAAATATTAAGCAGGAGGGGAGTGGGGATACAATGTGACACTGGGCAGCCATTGTACATACAATGGGCTGAGTGTGGGCTTAGCCATCCTTGGGCCAAATTGGTCCTGAGTATGGGGCAGGATGGGATGATTCCCCCAGTAATTAGCAATAGAATGCTCTTGGAAGTCTGGCTGCTGAGCATCGTGTGTGCTGCTCCCAACTGGTGGAGAGAGGCTTCTATGGAGAGTACTGGTTTGCCCTGGGAACCAGTTTGGCTGATCCCACCTCACGGGCAGCAAATTGTAGCCCCATGTTGAAAAGCAGCTGCTCCTCAACGCCAGGCTGGGGGGTCTTTTATTGTCTAGCTTAAATGAAGCAAGTAACTGGATAATATACTGTTTATACTGGATAAACAAGAATTCAAGCAGGGAAAGCTCATAACCCCTCCTGGCCTGTAAATGTCTCCCAGGGTGGCTGCAGAGAGCTGGCCCAGAGGCAAGAGGAGCCTTGCTGGGTGTCTGAGATTGTGTTTTCTGAATATTTATCACTGGAGGGTCCTGGCACTGGGCTAAGCCTTCTTCAAGGCAGCCATCACAGGGAGCATGCTGTGCTGGGGTCAGGAAGTGCAGCTCAGACTGGGTTCAGCTCCATCAGCACTGTGCACAGACTGCAGGCAGACTCCTTGCACCTGAAGGGACCTCCAGGTGAGCTGCAGTCACAGCTGTAAGGCTGGAAGGCTTTGGGCTTTCCTAAGGTACCTCTTGATGAGCCCTGCTTAGTTTCCTCCACACACCCATTGCCCAGCTGCAGCCTTGTCCCCTCATCTCCTGCTGAGAGATATGACAGAGCCTTCCAGTTCCAGAATGAATTTGTTATTTCTTTTGCATTTTGTTTCATCTCTCCTTTCTCCCTGGCTATCTTTGCCATCGGCCCGTTTCTACGTGTTGCTCTGCCAGCTCTCTATCTCAGTGCTTCTCCTCACTCCCCGGTGTGTCTGCAGGCAGGCAGAGCTCTGGCATGCTGGGCTGCACTCCCAGTCCCCTTCCATCCCGCAGCCACCTGTGCTCTTCTCTCTGCTCTGCAAAAATCACAGCCCCCAGCTGTACCAGACCCTGGGCTGTATAACACAGACACACTCAAACAGCTGCCACTCCTTCTTCGAGATGTCCAAAGCAGGGATAGTCCCAGTCAGAAGCCATCAGCAGACAGACAAGGAAAACAGGCCTGCACTCAGCACAAGGGTAAATATTGACAGTGGATGCTGCTGGAGAGCTCCTTTTCTTACTTCCCGCAGTCCTGTGGAAGCCACAAGAGTTTGTCTATCAGTGCAAAGGAGAGATCTTTTTTGCAACATCCATCCTGGTGCTCCTCTATCCCAGCACGTCTCCCCTGTGCCCCGCTCTGTGCAATTCCCATTGCTTTCCTGGAGGCGACAGGTCTGCTTTGCATCACTGATCCTCTTATTCTGGCACCCTGGAAAGAGCTCTACTAAAGCAAGTTGTGCAACTCGCCTCCCCGAAGCACGAGGCAATTAAGAGGCTTTTATAAGTCATCGATTTTCCTTCCCACTGGCAATTGCAGAACCATTGCTTTCAATCAGATGAGACGCGCTGTTCGATACCCAAACGTTCTGCTCATCGCTGGAGCCTTTTATTTTTTATTTCGTGCCATAGGAAGCGACTTATTAACGTGGATCTGTATTGAAAACTTGAAAGCTTTTATTCTGAGCGATCAGATCCCAGTGCTTGAACACAGGGAGGCAGAGGATCGTCTGACAAGCCCAATTTGGCACAACAGGGATGAGACTGCATCATATGTTTCAACCAGAAAGCACTTAAGCGCTTGGCCCATTTATCTGCCTTGTCTCCAGCAATGAGATCTTTGCTGACTGCCTTGCCGTTTGCAATGAGAGGTCTTCCTTTATTTCCTCAAACAAAAATGGGTTTGTACAGAACACACGTGCAGGGCTGCTGGTGAGCATCCTGGTGCCACAGCATCTGCTGTGATGCCATGTTTTGGCTTTGGGATGGAAGCCATGTCATCATTGCACTGATGTGGTGGTTGTTGGTGAGCAATGCTGTGCAGAGCCTAGGATATTTCGGGTTTTCAGCATCTCCCACTGCCCTGCTAGGGAAGGGGCACAGAGTCAGGGTGGCTGGCCCAAGCTGCCCAAAGGAGCACCCCATGTCGTATGGCCTCACTGAGAAACCATGAAGCCAGAAACTGCTGGGCATTGGGTGGTGGCTGGCAAGCAATTGCATTGAGCATCACTTCGTATATATATATATATACATATATATATATAACTTTATATATGCTCTTTCCCAGTGCATTGCTTCATTTGGATGGGAGCATGCTGAGCTCTCTGCCCATAGAGCTGCAGATAAATGCTGGGCCACCTCACACTGTGCAGGCAGCACCTTGGCTCTGCATTACTGCAAAGAGGACAAGTTTACCAGTGCCACAGTGCACAAAGGAAAAGAGAAACGTCCTGAAGTTGCAGAGGGGGCCAATTTGAGCAGCAGGTTTGTGCAGACGCCATTCAGCGCTGCTGCTCCTCCCTGCGTGCTCCAGCACTGCTGAGCTGGGGCCAAGCCAGCGGCTGTGTCGGAGCCTCTGCTATTGCTTTTTTCCAACCTAATTTTCTCAGGAACTGACCCAGTTCTGGCATTTTGGGAACTGGCATTCTCCCTGCTGGTGAATACTTCTCATCTGTTTCAAATGATCAGTCCGGTGTGACCTTTTCTGCTAAAATAGCTTACACAATGAAAACGCATCAGTGTTAAATTCTAACATTGCATAACTGAAAGCAAGACCGTGCATTTACCAGCAGGAAGGAGGCTTTTTTCCCCTCACTTTGTAGGAACTGAGAAGGAAACATCTAGAGTTGTGTGACTGCAATGAGAGGGAAACCTCCCCAAAGCTCCCATCTCCTCCCTACAATATCAAAGGGGTTGTACCACCCACTGCTGCTTTTCGTTGCGTCAGAAAGAAGAAAAGGTGTCGTTCAGCAGTGGGGCGTTGGCCAACCGTGAGCAAGAACTCATAGTCTTTGGGGCCATTTCCCAGTTTAGGACCAGGCATCTTGCTGTGTGTGCTCACTGCAGAATGGGGAGGATCCTATCTTTGCTGCTTTGGAACATACACAGCTGGGCAGCAATTCCAACAGTGATACCATCAGCCCTGCACAAGTGTTTTGAGGGTTGTTTTCCTACCAAGAATTGCTCCTCCTGTTCCTGGTGCTGTTGCTCCTTTTCCTTAGGATGATTTCATCATTTCTCAATATTTCTAAATTTGCTGCAGGAAGATGTGTGCTCTGGCCCAGGGCTTGTCAGGGCAGCTCTGCATTTGAAACATCATTTCTTGTCCCACCTGGAAGGGAGCTGAACCACCCACTTATTACTTGCCGTGACCTGGGTTGATCCCTCAGCACAGCAGCAGGAATCATAAGACTTTTGGTTTTTTTTCCTCCTAGAGGACAGCAACGTGTATTTGGCAGCAGAGCTTTTACAAGGGGGCAAATCAAGGGTGGTGGTGGTACCTGTTCCTTGTAAAGATGTGCAGGGCTGCACCTTTGGTGAGGTGCAAGAGGGGCTGAGATGTGGGAGTGGTGCTGCACTGGCACAGCTGCCCAGAGGGTGGTGGGGTCACCATCCTTGGAGGTTCTCCAGAACCATGGGATGTGGCACTGAGGGATGTGGTCATGACCATGGTGGGGTGGGCTGGGGTTGAACTTGGGGGATCTCAGCAGTCTTTTCCAACCTGAATGATTCAGGGCTGCCCTTGCAGGATGGCAGTTGGACCACATGTGCTCTGCCTGGGGATGATGCTTGTAGGTGCTGGGGACAGGCTGTACTGTACAAAAAACACTGTGCAGTTTGTTTTTTGTTTTAATGAGTCACTAAGATATTTGAAACGTACTTCTGACCTACCGAGTTCAGTTAGCACCTACACTTCATAAATCATAGCAGTGTCCTGCCAGCTGCTGGCTTAATAAGGCCCCTGACTGCGTGGGAAATGCTATGACACTGCAAAGTGATATCTGATCCCTGAAGTGAACAGACTGAGCTCTTTAAAAACCTCCACTGCTGCAAGAAATGCAAAGTTCTGAGCAGAGCAGCCTCGGGGCTGCAAGGAGCTCAGCGTTCAGAGGCAGAGGTCCAGGTAAGAGCACCTCCCTTGTATGAAATCTTTCTGTGCAACCCATCTGTTTTTCTTTGCCTTGTGAAAAAGTGTGGATGCGTTTGAATTAAGCACCATTGGAAACCGAAAAGAAAATCTTCCTCCACTTGGACTCATGCTCAGTGCTTTGGATGCTGCAATCCATCAGAAATGAGCTATGTCTGCTGTCTTCCCAGCTCTGAAGCCAGCTCTCATTACCGTAGCACCTTTGTGCTGAACTTTGAGACCTTTCAGAGGCAGAGGCTGACGCCTACATCCCATGGTAGGGTTGGTAAGGGTACAAGCTCACCTATTTGGTATCCTACAAGCTAATTCCAGTCATTTGTTCTGGCAGGAGCTCGTTCTCTCTTGTTTCAGAGTAAAACAGAAACATAACCAGCACTGTTTACAGGCGTGTGTAGCACTTTGGGAGGGTTTGGTGTTTGTTTGAGTTGAAAATTAGCTGATGAAACTGTTGTGTATTTTTGACTGCTGCCATGTGTTCCCAGTTAAGATTTCTGCTTAATTCAAGCTCCCTCCCTCTTCTCCTCCAGTGCGCCCTGATCCTCTTCTCTGTGTTCTGTGGGATGGAGTCGGGGTTGGCTGGGATTTCCCAAGCTCAGACCCCAGTTATGGGCAGTGGCTGGGGGTGAGGAGTGGGCATGGCCAAGGGCTGCCCCAGGGCTGCCATCAAAAAGGGGGACGTGGGCTGCAGCCTAAACAGCTGTTGGCTGTGCTGCGTGCTCTGTGCTTTGCTCGTGTGCATCTCTACTTCTAGCTGATCCGTTCCTACGCTTGTACCTGTATGTAAAAGTTAAAGAGATACATGTAAGTCTCCCCAGTAGTAATGCCTTCTATTTATTTCCATGAAAACAGCAACAGACACAAAGAGCACAATAACACTGTTTGGTAGAGCACGTTGTCAGTGACAAACCACTCCTTATTAACTTAATACCTTAATAACCTAAATAGCCACTGCTATTAGTTAGGTGTTTTTGTCAGTGATGAAGAAGAGCTGTATGCTGCACTTATAAGCACCTGCACAAGCAGAGGTCATAGTCCCATAGTCACTGTGCCACTGCTGGAACGTAACATGCACCTCTCACTGTGCCACATCCACCAGTTGGTTGGGTGCCATAAACATTCATCAGGTGATGAGGAATATCAATGGGTGCTGGTTTTCTCCACGTGCGGAGGTTCATCCTTTGCTGCAATCCCACCAACATCCGCCTCTGACATTGTGGGCTGATGTCACAAAATAGGAGGCATTACTTTCAGAGCAGCCCGGTTCAGAGGGGCTGAGTGATGTCTGTGTGTTGGAGAAGGGTGTTCTGGTTTGGCGGTTTCTAATGGGAATGTCTCTACACGGAGGTGCTGTTGAGAGCTGTGTGCTGTCCCCCAGCTCCTTCCCCAGAGCCGTGCCGTGCACAGCCTGCCGACTGCTGATTGACTTTCATTTGCAGAATGCTCTTAGCAAGCCAGAAACTATTTCAAACAAAGCCAAAATCTCAACCATGTGTTGTCATCCCCAGAATTACACTCATCAGGGAAGAGGAAAAAAAAAAAACAATAATAATAATTCAGAAAAACCCCTCTGGGAAATGATGAATCAGTAAACAAGTAAAAGGCGATTGTCATCTGTGTGCATCCTGCAGAGGGAATTCCACGGCCCCACTGCAGTGATAGAAGCCTTTCACCACCACGATGCTGCACCAAAGGGCTCCTCCAGTGCTGGCAATGGCTTTGCAGCCCATCTCCCTCCTCTCCCTGGTGTTGGTGTGGGGCTGCGTGGCCTCTTCCTCCCCCTGGCATACAGCAGGTAAGCCCACTGGCAGCCACCTGGGCTTGGGATGGTGCTGGGCTCTGTGTGGTTTCGTTATGGCAAGGGGTGGGTTTGTGAATGGGCAGTTAACACATGGTGTGTTCAGTGGGGTGTTTTTGCAAGTGGCTTCAAAGGGAACAGAAAGAACTGTCAGCAAAGTGTTAATGTAAGGCTGGCATTTACAAACACGTAATGGGTACATAATGATCCCAGGTGTGTGTGCGGGGGGAGGGGGTAAAACACAGGGTTTATTCATAATGTAGGAAGTGCTACTCGGTGAGCTGTTGGCCTCGGCAATGGTATCTGAAGCACTAATGCGGGCACTGCCCTTCAAACAGGCTCCCTGCACGATGCTGGGATGCAGCCATCCCGTGTGCTGGTGGCTGCTGCAGTGCACTGCTTTGTTGCCACAGAGGTGATGCTGCAGTGAGAGCCAACAGCACCCAGCTGAGAGATGGGGTAACTGTGCAGTGAGATGGTTGTGTGATGGGGTGGCTGTGCGATGGAATGGCTGCAGAATGGGATGGTTGTGCAGTGGGGTGGTGGTGCACTGGGTTACCTGTAGGACAGGGGTGGCTACAGGGCAGAATGGCTGTGGGATGAGATGGCTGCATGATGGGATGGCTGTGCAATGAGATGGCTGTTTGATGGGGTGGCTGCAGGATGGAGTGGCTGCAGAGTTGTCCAGCACATCAGGATGTGATTCAGCAAATTCAGTGCAAATTGTGTCCAGAAGAAAGGAGTTCTGCAGGAAACACTGAGGAGCGGCTTTCATTTCAAAGCTGGATGACACAGTCCTATGTCCTGCATGGAGAATGAGTGAGTGAGACTTGTGCCTTCTGGAATAGAGTCATACTGAATCATTAAGGTTGGAAAAGATTGCTAAGATCATCTAGACAAGATCATCTAAGAATGTAATAATGAGAAACTCCACAAGAGGCAGCGCTGATGTTTAAAAAGGAGTTGAGTTTGGAACGCAACATCCAGAAAGCATCATCCCAAAACAAAGCTTTTTCATTCTGTCTGAACTTTAATTATTGTCAAAATTTCTTTTGGAAAAATTACTTGCTATTGTTTCAAAAAGGTGTGGCTGGGCAGAAAAAGATCAGGGATGGAACCAAATTTCAGAATGTTATTGTTTCTGGAGAGACAGAAATTCCACTTCGAACAAATCCAGGGCTCTCTTGGAAGTTATGTCTGGATTCCCAAACAAAGGCAAGTTGCTCTGTTTGCACAGCAGTGAGAACAACCTCTGTCCATGCAGGAGAAGGCTCCCAGCCCTGCCCACTACAAGGGCCATGTCCCACTGGTCCTGGAGCTGCCACAGTCCCACTGCCGCCCTCTGAACCCTCTGTGCTGGGCTCAGAGCTGCTGGGAGGCAAAACATTGTACTTGTTATATAAAAATGCATCAAAGCTCATTGTTTTCCTCCAAATCATTAGAATCTATTGTTCCTTACCCCAGCACCTCCCTACGTGTGTTAAGATGGTATCTGACATTGACACCTAACAACAGCTGGTCTCCCAGACCGAAGCTTCACATGCTGGGAAGTGTGGGAGCTGGAGACTGCAGTGGTCATCACTGGGAGGGCTTCGTCAGAAGTAATCAATGATGTTCTCTGCCAACTTTCTAAAGAGGGCACATATGGTGGCAATGCTGGACTGACCCGGCCAAAGGTGGACTCCAAAGCACCGTGAAGAAAACACATCATGCCATGAACATAGAGGCACCCAAATGGGTAATACCACCTCCAGACAGCGTATGCAGAGAGAAAACCACATATGTTGACTTTGAACTGATAAAACAGAATGAGCTCGATGGCTTTCATTGTGTGAACGACCTTCTTCAGGCAGAGCTTAGAGGCAGCATGTCTTAGTAACCCCAAGCAGATGGAAGACTTGAAAGGTCATGGTGGTACTATGGTATTATTTAGAACACTTCTAAAGGGATTGACAAAGATACTGTGGCATTCTTATGCCTCTTTGATGCCCTTTGAGTGGGCAGGAAGAGAGATTGTGTGTGTATGGTTGAGGGCAGGTGGTGACACACACAGGACTGGATCTGAACCAGCTGTGTTCCCCTTCACACCCACAGCATGTTTAATTTCATCACGTTTGTTGTTTTTTTTGTTTGTTTGTTTTTGAGGTTGTTGCTATTTTGAATCAACACCCCTTTTACTCCCTGCTTTGTTCCCCAATGCAGTTGCTCCCCCCCCTAGACCTTCACATCACCGATCCTGGGCTCTTAGGTTCTCTCGATATAGAGTGGAAACCTCCACCCAACGTACAGACCTCCAATGAATGCACAGTGAAATACAAGTGTGAATACCGTAACACCGGCGACAGAGAATGGAAGGTGAGAGAACGCACAGCTTTATCCTCCTAGATCCCTGTTGCTCCTTTATTTCTTGCACATGTTTATACCTGCATTTAAAGCACCAGCAGGACTGGTAAAGCAGCACATCTAAGTGCCATTCCACAGGATCACTTCTTGGAAGTGTTTCCCAAAGAGGAGCGTGCTCTGCAATTCCTCAGCAGCAGTCAGAGTTGGAAAAGGGCTGTTTCTGTCAGAAGTGTGCTGCTTGCTGCCGAAAATAATCCACCAATATCCAGTGTCATCCCTTGTCATAAAAGGCGCTGCGTGTTTTAGAAGGTCTTTGTTTATATGGTCTTGAACTCAGGCAGTGCCACATCCTTAGGGATATGTAGCATGGTAAATAAATACAAGATTAAGTCCTATTAATTTTCCTAATGGTTAAACATTCGCTATATTCAGAAGAGTGTTATTAATCTGTGTTTCCTTCTGTGTTGTAGATAAGGTTGATTCCAGCTCAGCTCTGTGATAAGATAGTCAGCCTTAGCTTGCAGATGTATAGATGTAGGGTTGCCAGAATGCTGTGGGAGCTTTTAGGAGAGGAAAGCTGCCAGAGGGGTTGGAGGGAAGAGGAGAAACCCTCTGTGTGGTTGGTGCAAGGTACTGGGGAGCACTGAGAGATATGAAAAGGATATGTGCAGATTCCTGCCTTGTGTTTGTAACTGCTCTTTAATAAGGGGAAAAAAAAACGAAACAAAACAAAAAACCAAACACGTCAGAATTCCCCAGGTCATAATCAAAGTGTCTGCAAGGCAGAGCCAAAAAGGAGGAAACTGCACGGCTTGTACCTTGCAAAAATGCTGGATAAGGTCACAGAGAAACATTGACTTTGAAAAACAACCCATGGGGCCATCGAGGAATAACCCATCATCAGCAATGTCTGGCAGAAGGACGTGGCTGAGCAGGGCTCTTACACTCTGGGACTGCTGACCATAGCCTGACTGTGGGCTGCAGTTCCTCTTGCAGCAAACATGTTGACTCTGCAGCCCATCATTTCTGTCCTGGCTGGGTCTGTGCAACCCTTTCTCCCTCTTCATTTGCTGCAACTTCCCCCAGCTTACTTTTGTCCTATATAAAAGAAGGGAGATGGAGCCTTCTCCCAGCCCTCATCCTCAGTCTGGGCTTCCTTTTTCTGGGGTGGAAGGGAGGATTCACAGCCAGTGAGGATGGGCAGCCCAAGCAGAAGCACTGGGCTATACAAGTGCTGGAATAGCATTGGGCAGGAGAAGCAGGATAGAAATGAAAAGGAAGATGAAAGCACCCAGGTGAGCCTACCAGCAGCCATGGTGCAATGGTGGCTAACTCTTCAGCTCAGCAACAAGAGGTGCTTATCAAATCTGTCTTTCAACCAGGTTATTTTTACTAAGAAACTAAAACTCAGAGTTGGATTTGACCTCAGCAGGACTGCTGAAGTGAAGGTCCAGACCCTGCTCAAAGGATGGTGTACCAACGACGTGGAAGTTCAGAGTGAATGGGTTTATGCCACCTTTCGGGTCCCACTGCAAGGTTAGGAGCAGCCTTCCTACTTTTTGACCCCACTTTTTTTTGTCTTGACTGAGGCACACTACTGTTCAAAGCTGTACAATGATATTTCTGGCTGACACTTGGCTACATAGTCATTATCTTCTCATTTGGCAGGGAAACTGGAATCTAAGGTTGAGAATTTTCATTGTGTCTATCATGACTGGGAATACCTCAAGTGCACGTGGCAACCGGGTCTCCTTGCTCCTCGTGGTGTAAATTATGGACTATACTATTGGTATGTATCAGCAAAATAGGATAGTATCTAGCCAGCAATTGAGCGAACCACTCTTGGAATCGCTCAGCCTACTTACATGCCATGGAAAGTGCCATGGGGGTAGTAATAATGCACTTTTCTCAGTTAATTCTATTGTTTTTTTAACATTTTTTTTTTTTTTTCTGCAAGAAAAACAAAGCCAGAATTATGCGTTTTGGCCAATATAACCTGTGCTTCATTTCCTGTGATGTTGTGGTGAGAGTGATGGGCCATTGGGTTTTGTGACTTCAGGCTGTTTGTGGAGAAAAGCTTAGCTGCAGCTATTTAAAAATAGTTTCTGTGTGGCTCTTGGAAATATTCTTCAAAGCAAAAACACCAAATTTACTTGGAGAAAACCATGGAAAATTTCATTATTTGTTGCTGAAAACAAACCAACCCCAATTCCACAAAAAAAGACACCAACAAACCTGCTGTTATTTAACTGCCTGTAACCAAAGCAGCATTTGGATCTTAGTCCTGTTTTATAAGAAGGATGGGTGGAAACACAGCCTTGTCCTTTGATCCCTGGGAGTTAACTTTCACAGTGCTACCATATGATTTCTTTCCCCACGTAATAACGTGCTTTGCAGAGAGACTTTCATTAGGAGCAGAGTACAGTGGCCAGACCCAGCTCTGCCTCAATGGCAACAACCCAACAAGAGTCACTTAAGGCAATGGGAAGCCCCACGTGGCATTACCAGCATGGGGACTGTAACCTCCAGAGCCAGGAGGTGGTTTGGGTTGCTTTTACACAATCACTACTGATCCCTCGGGTTTCCATTACAATCAGCTGTTTTTTCCCCTCCTCCTCACACTTTTCCACATAGCAGGAAAGATGCACAACGCTGTGCTTTGATGGGTAGGGCAGGTAGGACAAAAGGGATGCTCATGGTTTAAGTCCATTTGCTCCTATCTGATTGTTCTTTAAAAAAAAAAAAGATTAGAAAAAGGCTTTACCCCAAACTAATTTCTATTGCTTTGATTGCCTTTTTTTAATGTTTTCCTGTTAGGTATGAGGGTCTGGAGCACACAGTGCAGTGTGACAACTATATCCAGGATCATGGTATAAACGTGGGCTGCATGCTGCAGAACCTGAGCCAGGCAGAATACAAAGACCTGAGCATCTGTGTCAATGGGTCTGTGGCAGCCACCTCACTGAGGCCTCTGTATGCCACCCTGCGCCTTCACAACCTGGGTAAGGTTGGTGGGAGGGCAGCAGGGCTTGGGGGACCTGCATGGCCACTGAAGGCCCATGGCTTGCATGAGGGGCTCAAACTAATGTGTGCTCTTGCAAATGGAGAAGGGGACGTGCATTGCTGGACTTGATTCTCTGGCAGTGTTTTCAGGAGGTGATGCTGCTCAGTGCTCAGGTCACTAGGTGCTGCTGGCATTGGATGACTTCACATCAGTGGGCTGCTGGGCAGAGAGCAGAGCAGCTATGGGTTTTTTGGACCCAGCAGCACAATTGCAGATGTGGCTTGATTTCCTCCCGCTGGAACTGAAGCCACTGCTCTGCTCCTGCAAGCACAGGAGAGCTCTGCAGGCATTGCTGCTGAAAGCAAGCCAGAGGCAGGGGAGAGTCAGGTGAAAGGTGCAGTGTGGTCTGCCAGAGCCATGGGAACAAAAAGCAAAGGTGGGTTTCAAGCCCCCTACACCCTACTACAAATGGGGAAACAAAGCAAAGTGCAGCTAAAGACACAGTCTGATGCACATGCTAGCTCTTTGCCATGGGCACTTCCTGTGCTGATGCATTCCATTGAATCATTTGGACCCTTAATGGCCATCTGGTCCAACTCCTGCACTGAACAGGAACAGCCACAGCTCCATTAGGTGCTTGGAGCAACATTTACCCACATGTAACTGCCAGGGGATAAATGGGTTACCCTCCTGGGTTAATTAGCAGGATTTCTGGATTCAATTAGGGATGTCGTGTTGTCCTATGTGGCTTTGGGCACATGGCATAAAGAATGCAGTGTCAGGACAACACAATAGCAATGATGCATTGCAGGGGTCCAGGCTGCCCTGTGAGAACAGCATGCCAAACACATCATTTGGCCATCAGCCCTGTCTGCACATCCAGATAAAAACAAGCAACCCAGCCTCCAAGTGGAGCTTTTGCTCCTGCAGCATCATGGCAGTCGAAAACCCCATCAAACTCCGTCAGTAGGAGCATGGGACAAAGCCTGGTGGTGATAACCCAAAGCCATTCTCACCAGGAACTGGTCGGTGGCACCTCCTGACTTCTTCTCTTTCCTCCCCCAGCCAAGCCCTCACCCCCCCAGCAGCTGGTGGTCTCCATGTCTGCAGCTGAGGAGCTCCGCGTGGCGTGGAGCCCACCTGGTGGCCAAACACCCCCCCAGTGCCTGGAGTACGAGGTGCAGCTGGCAGAGGAGCAGAGAGAGGCCAAGGCTGCCTGGGCGGTAGGGAGCACACAGGGCTGCAAGCAGCCTGCTGTGGGATGGCGAGGTGGGGGCCTGTCTGTGTGTATATATGGCCTCTACGCAGTTTGGTTTGGTTTGGTTTGGTTTGGTTTGGTTTGGTTTGTTTCCTTGAATCTGGTAGTACAACATGATCCAGTGAAAGGGTGAAGGCTCAGTGCTCCAGAGAAGCAACCTGGCACACGCCATATGTTGATGCATAGGGCTTTTTCCTTCTGTGTTATTCAGTGATGGTTTTAACAGCAAGAATCATTCAGTTGTAGGGAATGGTTGGAGGAAACGTTCTTTAAGTGTCGCTTTCTACACATGAATCTCCATAGCTACCTTCACAAATGATCAGACACAAACAGTGACCATACACAGAGGGGCCCCATGAGTGTCTGTGTTTTCAGGAGGCTCAGCTCCATAATAATTACCAGTACTGGATGGTCCAAAGCTATTAAGAAACCATTCCAAACTGCCAAAACGTAATCCAAGGATTTGCAAAGCTTGTTCAGCAGCATCAGGCCATGCCAGAGAGTTACCTCTGGCTGCTCAGAACTCCTCACTGCTCTCCGTTTTCTTTTTCAGTCCATATCCACCCAAGTGGAAACTGCTTTCACCATCTCCAGAGCAAATCAGAGCCGTGTTTCTTGTGTCCGTGTCAGAGGGAGAACAAACAGTTTCTGTGCTGATGAGGGCTTCTGGAGTGAATGGACACAGGAGTGCTTCTCTGGTAGGGAACCAACAGCCATCAGTTTTTGTCTGTAGTGAAAAAATTAATACACTTAGGGTAAGAAGTAAGAAGATTGAATGCATGGGGCCCAAGGTTTTAAAAAGCAATGCAACCTGTTCTGCAAGACAGGAACTTCTTATTTGTTATTATTTCTCTTGGCAGTAAGCAGAAAAGAAGTCAAGCAGCTATTTATCCTCATTCCAGTCATCCTGGGGTTGTCAAGTAGCCTCTTAATATTTACGTTGATTGGCCAATGCAAGAAAAGGTAAGTGCTAGAGCAGCCTGTCCATGCAATGTGCTCTTAGGTCTCAGCCTGTGGGTATAAATAAAACAATATACAAGATACTAAGAGACAAGCATGTATCAACAAGATGAGCTATAATCAGACACTAAACAAGACATTTTATGTTGAGGAAACAGCTTTACAAGTGTGACCATTTCTGCCTCCCAACATGCCATAAATAGCCAGACTGCTATTAAATGCAGCAGTTACTCACATGTAAAGCAGCAGAAATAATGCCATTATTTTGCCCCAAAGTGTAGATGCTAGTGATAAACCTGTGGCAAACAAATGCTTCCTGCATTGGCACTGTGATGAGGCAATGTGTGATGGGGATGCCATCTTCTTCGTCTTCCTTGGTACTGGCAGTGACCTTCTGTTCCCATTGCAGATCCCCAGCAGGAAAACCATTGCACACATTGGTGGGATGCTAAGTGCACCCATGGCTGCTGTGTTTGATGGGCTGCTCTCACATCATCCCAAGGACAGCCAAGAAGCCCGGAGCTTTCTAGGCCAGCGTGGGTCTCCCCTGTGCTGTGTGAGGCTGGCAGTCACAATGCAATCCTCAACAGGCCCAGGAAAACACGGGAGGAGCTGTAAACTGACTGGAGCAAACTGTTTCTAATAACAAGGCAAAGGAGAAAAAGGAGGCGTGGAAATTGTGATGAATAAAGATAAATAGGATCCGCAGAGCAACATGTTATTTGTTTAGTAATTTATTTTAAGGATTCCATGAAGCTGTATAGCAGGGCATACGCTGAAGCTTGGTACACAAATGCTGGGTACCAGGGCCTGCATGCATCTCCTCACCACTCCTTTCCTCCCTTCACTGCTGTGCCTGAGCTAATTGCAATCGTTTCATTAACTGTTACGCCTCAGCTGCTGCAAAGCTGAAGTGGTGAGAGAGCGTGGGAGAAACTTTTGCTACAGTACTCCCAACCACTGGAAGGGATGTGGTTACGAGGAGAAGTAGAAGGTTATTTTTGCATAGGCAGCAAGGGAACTCCTCCAAGAAGTGGGCACAGCTCCTGCCATTCAGTGGAGCACCCTGGAGGGCTCTCAGCACTGTGCACCCAGCTGGTAAAGTTGCTGATTGACATTTAAGGATGCCCCCCATGAGAATGATTAAAAAGTAAATCCAAGACGTGCACTACAGCTGGGTAGAACCCCAACCAAGATGCTGCTCTCCAAGCCTGCTTTTATTTTTATTTATTTTTATTTCCTTTTATCGGAAAAGGGAACGAGCTCAAACCCCTATGTTTAGTTATGTTTCATTTCATCTGAACAACCCAGAAACCCCAACCTCTTGCAGGAGTGTTTATTCAAGATGGGAATTTCTTGTGAACAGAGGAAGCTCAGAGGGAAAATCAAGTTTGCATCAATCAGCCCTATAAAGAGATGGGTGAATCCAACCAGCCACAACACAGTGAGTGCTGCCTTACACATCCAAGTGCAAAATTACTCAATCCCTATCAGCTGCTTCCAATGCTATGTGGGTACCAACCCAGTCTTATTTGGGGATGTATCAAGGAAGGAAGGCACTAGAAAAAGAACCAACTTGTCTATGGACAGATTGGGGGACAAAGGAAGCTTCTCAACTGCTGGTATTTAGGCAAGATGTAACTCTACCCTTCACTACCTCTGGGTGATGGAAGGGAGCAGCTCTTTGCATATTGCCCTGTGCAGAGTCCCCTTCCTTCCACGTCTGGTCTCCAGGCAGGATTTGATAGGACAAGAGAAACAGCCCTGCATCACATAGCTCAGACATTTTGCTTAGCTTGCTCCTGAGGTCAAACTTGGGGTATCCATGGGGCATCATAGCGGAGCAGGAGCACACCTGGATTTCCACCTCTGAGCCCAAGATGAGCAGAGATGCTCAGTCCCGCTCATTCTGAGCTCTGCATGGTAATTGCAGGAGCCACAAGACTTGGGCACATCCAGATAGATGCCATCCAGACTCTGTTTTTTCCAAACTGCCCTCAGAGCAACAGTTACTCCTTTTGTAACGACTAAAAGCACTGAAGAAAACTGTTGGAAAGAATCCCATTGAGGTTTCCTTGTTAATAGGAATACCTCACAGTCGGTCTCTGACATCTTGCCAGGCCCTTAAATTGTTTCAACACTGATGCATTGTGAAAGCCATCTGTGTGAAGGAGAGGTAAGAAAAGAGGCTGGTGCAGATGGAACTTCACTTGCTTTATCCCACGGGAATGCACAAGCATTTGGCCATCCACACGTAGGTCTGCAGCTTATGCTCCCCTGGAACTTCTTGCTGCTACTGCATCCCATCCTGTGTGCTGATGCAGTTTGCTCTGCTCCATTACTGTGGCTAGTGGCAGCAGGCACAGCAGAGACCTCAGCAGACCGAAGTGCCTTCTGCAGACTGAAAGCTCATCTAGAACAGGGGAGAAACAAATGAGAACAAGCACAGGCAGAGATTGGAGAAGGAATGGATGCCGTATTCCCCGACTAAAACTCAACCCCAAAAGATCAGAGCTATTTCTGTCACTACAAGATATAAAAGTTAGATGGAAGCCTGCCTAGAAACCTGCCTAGTAACAAAGGGTGCATTCTCTTATAGTACTTGTATGCTGTTGCTCGACAGGAGCCTTTTGATTGCAGACACTGGGCTTGGTCCTTCCCAGTCCTTCCTTTGATAAGGTCCATAATTAACATTTATAGCAAGTCCATTTCAAAATCCATCCCCTGACACACTGTGCTCCTCCTGTTCCCGGGTTCCCCTGTGCTTGGCCAAGCATGTCTTTGGTAACACACACTGAGAGCTCCTTTAAATGCCCTCCAGTTTAGGGACTCCTTTCTGTCTTCGACTGATAAAGTCTTAGAGCCGTTTGTCAGGGAATGAAAAGCAACCTACAGAATATTTTCCCCAGTGGATGTCAATAGTTGTCAAACATGTGAAAGCACAACCCTGCACGTGCTGCAGGGAAATGCAGGATCCATTTGCATCTGTCATATTCTAGCAACAGCTTTTGGGAAACAAAGCAGGGAAGGTGCTATTGAGGTCACAGCAGTAACTGGGCATACAACATTGCTCTCCTCTCACTGAGGTCTGTATCTAAAAACCAACAAGAGAAAATTAAGGGTTGGTTATAATTGTTTTTTGTCATTGTTTGTTTTAAAATATACATCATAAATCAGACTATGGCATTACACTGTTAATTATCCCAGTTCCAGAAGGAGCTCATCTGCATCCTTCACAGTCTACATCCATTTCTTTTTTCAGTTCTTCTCCTGCAATTTCCATCAGTAACATCTCAATGTCATCATCTTCAGTGACAAGTGCTTCCCTCAGCTCTGTGCAGCTCAGCTGCTGTGCCTCACCTGCTTCTTGTGAGGAATGGGATGTTGAGTTTTAAGTCCTCAGACTGTGCCACAGAGTCTTCTTGGCTTCCTGGAAGCAGTTCCAAACTTGGGAGAACAAGGAAGAGAACAACCAGTACATGACATTTCTAACTGGAGATATGCTTCCAGCAAACCAGCTCTGAGATCTGTAGTTAACCCCTCCTGCACCTCACACACAGGGATGGGGATTCAGTTAACCTGAGGCTGCCTTTAATGTGCAAGATACCAGCTGGTACATTTTTCATAGTGGGAATTTATCTGTACAGATTGAGCAGTTTGAGTCTAGAAAACAGGGGCCAGGTTTTGTAGCAGAAACACATTGCCACCCTCATTAGTTTGCCTGTAAATATGTCAAGAAGAAGTCATCCTCTGCAAAAACCTGCTTACTAACTGAGTTACTTTTCCCCATTACATACTCAGCAGAGATTTTGAGTGAGCAATTTGAATTATTTCAGATGACCTCCTCCTTTGTTGGATAATGCCATGACACATCTCAAACACCCCGTTTTTCCCCTGATGCAGAAGAACTTATGTCTAATGGAAAAATGGCACTGATGAACAACAAGTTGTGGTCATCAGCTGCTTGAAAGTTTCATGACTTCAACCCTGACCAAGGTGTATTCAGGTGGGACAGAAGCAAGAATCGCCTAGGAAGAAACAAGACAGTGTGTATGAAGCACAGGTAAAAAATTCCTAAGTAACCTCTTTTCCCAGAGAAGTTGAGGACGCCCCATCCCTAGAGGCACTCAAGGCCAGGCTGGGTGGCTTCCAATACCCTGTGGGACATCTGCTGCCTTCAAAGGAAACAGAAGACCAGTAGAATATTTGAAATTTCTACCTTTTCTTCAAGGGCAATGTAAACCTTCCATATCCACTACTGCTTTTGCCAGTGTTCTTACCATAGGTGGTTTTCTGGCTGGGGGCTCATCCACGTCCTCAGCAACAGACAGATACATCTCTGCTGCCTTTCGCTTCCATCTCTGTATCTTGGGAAAGGTGGTTTTCCAGTCCATAGGCCTCACAGATACCTTGTGTCCACCTAAAGTAAAAGGAAGAGACTTCTGATACAGCCTTGCTGTGCCTCAAGAGAGATTCACGTTCTCTTATCATTCCCACAGCCCTTCCACTAATACATCTGACCAGTGGAATTACATTGCCATGTCCAGGATTCTCAGCAATGCTTTCCACACAGTCATCTCTATCTATCAACAACTCATAAAAAGGAACAAAGAAAACCAATAGTTGCACTCAGTAATAATCCAGGGCAAGGAAAACTCTGACACCTAACTATCCTAAGCAACAGCATTACTTTTCTGAGATGCTGCAACAAGCTCCTTGTGCTCACCTTTAAGTCTTGTCTTGCAAGGCAGTTTCTTTGCTTTTCCCTTCCTCTCCTCAGATCTCTTGCGTTTTTGTCCAGCCAGGCCATGGGAGGAAGTTGGAATGTCAACTGCAGAGAACAGTCCCAGGAAAGAGCAATCAGGAAATCTAAGTAGAAAGACAGTGTATCAAACCCAGGTGCCTGTTCAGTACCTGTACCTCTCTCTGGTGCCTTCTGAACCTCTGTCTGGTTCCCCAGACTTTCTGCAAGGCTGCAAGACTGTTCACAGGGAGGCCACTTACATCAGCTTCTGGCAGAAAGAAAACAAGAAATAATTGAAGAGCATCTCTCTGGAGGAAGCTTTCAGCACAGTCAACCACAAGCTTCGCATTTTCAAGCATTGCTTCTTACAGTTGCCTTTCCACTGCTCAAATGTTGTGCCATTTCTACAGTCCTGCAATGCATTTACCTCTCTCCAGAAAAAGCCCACCACTGTTCTGACAGCCAAAACACAAACTAGTACTTCACTTATCATCCCTCTTCCCTGCACTCCCCAATGAACAGTTACTTGACATCCTGCACCCACTCAGAAGTAATATTCAAAATTAAGTCTTTCATGCTTCATGCCATCAGAAACTCACCGTTGCTTGGTGGTACAGTCGGTCCGTTCCCACTGCGTTCCTTCAGGTGAAGAAAAGTGCAGTGGGCTTTCTGACAGCCTCCTGGCTGATTCTCCCAAAAGCAGGGAATCTCACTGTGCTTCTTCTGAAGAGAGAAAGAAAGGAAGGGTCATGGAAACAGGCACGCGAGGTTTGCAAAGAGATGCAGCGCTCCAGGTCATTTATCACCAAAGGAAACATCTGGGAGCAGATTTACAACATAAGCTGTAACCACTCGCCATATTTTGGTTTCTTATTCTTCAGGTAGAGGAGTCAGGCACTCTCAGTTCAGTGGGTTAAACCAATGCACCTGCAAAATGCTACCATTATTTGGGACAAACAGTGCCTTCAAATGCCATGATTAAGTCATCAGAAACTATTGGGCAGAACCTTAGCTCTTTACCATCATTTCTTGCCCCACCCTTCACTACTCCAAGCAGCCAGAACAAACTGCTCTGAAGAAATCCAGGACACAGAAGGCCTGACAGACCATATCCAAGCCATGCTGGCAGGAGAGCAGCGCCTGCTCTTTCCTACCAGCCCGCTCCACAGGTTTAGGAGTCTGAGCAATGCGGTCTTTTTGCATCTGGGGAGAAAATGCCTTTGGCACCTAATGCAAACATCTCTGGCTAAGATATACCTAAGGCATTCTCCTCCCCTACCTCCTCCCAGCCCCTCTAGAAACAGAAACCACTAAGATTTTCACAGCAGATGTATCTAGCCTGCAGAATTGCATTCAGCTCACCTATAGCAATGAAAAGTGGTTTTGTGGACTAAGTTGGAGAGCACATCTTTAGGCAAACACATCAATTCTCATGTGCCTGAACTTGCAGTCCCTGCTGAAACAGCAACCTTCCATCCACGTTTGGCAGACTTGTTCACTCCCGAGAGCCACTTCACAGTGGCAGAAGGGACAGCTGTCTCTCTGCAAGCAAAAGGAAACCACAAAGGAAAATAAGAGTACAGCCTGAAATGTGTCCATGCCATTAGCGCAGGTTGTTAGCAGCGAGTGCAGAATCCCACTGATTATGATGGTAACACATCACCAGTAGGTCACCCCCTGCTCAAGCCCTTTCTCTTAAAAGTGAGGAAAAGGGAGAAAATCCAGGCCAAAGAAACCCAACCATACCTTCAAACAGATAGAGCAGAAATAGAAGTAGCAGTCATCTCTTTGCTGATACATGGGGTACTTAGAGTGAGTTTGGGTCCTCTACAAAGGAATTCCTCACTCTTAGAAAGAGATGGCTGCAGTCTTGGACTGTTTGGATCCCCATAATGTCCTCTTGTACAGGAAGCCTACAGAAAGTATCAGTGAGGGAAGAATCATGAGGAATAAGCCTTTCCCCAGCTTTCTTTTTATGTAATTTAGACTCTCGAGGAGGGCAGTGTCTTGGAAGCAGCTGTTGCAAGAACTGTGCCAACTCTAGATCCAACTTGTGTCTAACTGCCACGACTTCTCACAGCAAGTATTGTCCTCCATCTCATTAACAGTTATATATCTTGAAGCACACATGAAAAAGACTCCATCATCTACTTTTACTGCTGCAATGGATGCACTGGTACGACTCACATGTTTGACAAACCAATTCTGGCTTACCAAGGAACAGCTGCAGTCCTCCTCCCTTCCAGCTAACGTACCAGACCGATGTCTGAGCAACATCCATCAGCCACCAGCACTACCACTGCCAAGCAGGATGAGGCTGACTCAGCATGTCCACACTTCTGCACAGCTCTCACAGCTGTGGCACGCACTGGTGGCAGCCAGGGCCCCAAGCACAGTGCTTGTGATATCACCAGATAGTCCACGTCCCCAACTGAGCACCTGGCTCTCCAGTATGACTTCAGTGAGGTCTTGTGTAACAGGTGGGCAGCCAGGTCTAGCATTAGATATGTTGGCCTCAGCAAGGGGACTGGAGCTTGATGATTCTTGAGGTCCCTTCCAACCCAAGCCATTCTATGATTCTGTGAATTTGAAAACCAATCTACCTTCTGTTTGCTCATTTTCCAGCTTTATATGTTTTCATTTTTCAGAATACAAAATGCAAACACTACAACCTGCCAATAAGGCTGTAAGGAGCTACTCATTCCTTCATGTCCACAGAGGACATGAAAAGGCAGAAGTTGCATCTCACCGCCCTGAGGTACTGCTGCTGAGCCTGCCCAGCTCATACAGCCGCTACCATCTCCATGGCCACTGGGTGTCAGCATCCCTGCTTGATCGCAGAGGAGAGGGACAGCCTCACCTCCACCAGATTTCAGCACCTATTGCATGAAAATCGAGGTAACAGTGGCTCTCACTGTGAAAACGATGCATTTTGCTCTCTGCGCTGTTAAGTAGAGAAATGCTGTAACATATGGAATATCCCCAGTTGGAAGGGACCCATCAAGTTTTTCACACACAGGGTGGTGAGGCACTGGAACAGGTTGCCTAAGGAGGCGGTGGATGCCCCATCCCTGCAGGCATTCAAGGCCAGGCTGGATGTGGCTCTGGGCAGCCTGGTCTGCTGGTTGGCGACCCTGCACATAGCAGGGGGTTGGAACCAGATGAGTGCTGTGCTCCTTTTCAACCCAGGCAATTCTGTAATTCTACGATGTCCAAGAATCATCAGTAAATGTAAAGAATTCCATGGGCTGTGGTTGGTTTGCAGCTCTCTGTACAGTTTGAGGGACATCTGAGAGCACTGCCAAGCTCTCTGTGTCTCTGTAAGAGCCAGATTTTCACAGGAGGATGTGTGCTTCTCATGGCTGAATCATTTGAGTTGGAAGGGATCCTTAAAGGCCATCTAATCCAACTCCCCTGCACTGAGTGGCTGACAGCTGGAATCCTTAACACAGTCTCCATGTTCCCCTTTCCAATGGCTCTGTTTGAATGAAGGCTCCAAAACACTTCTCTAAAGCCATCAGTGACCTGCATGATTCATTTTCACTAAGGGGAAAAAAAAAAAAAAAAAAAAAAAAAAGAATAAATATCTTTTGCTTTGTTTTCTTTTTTCAATGCTGGGAAGAACTTCGTTCTGTAACAGAATTAACTTGTGTAGATATCTTTAAAAACACAAAGGATGGCAGAGTGTTCTTCACTGGAACTAACACAGTGGCAGAGAAAACACAGATACCAGACACATGATGTTCTTGGGAAAAGATCAGTCTTTCAAGGCTATCTGAAAACACAGCAGTCCCTCAGCACCCAGGAATGGCTCAGTGCACTGCAGAGCTGTTTATCTGCCCACAGCTGGAAAGAAACTTTGCACTGGAACACATATAATGCAAACTGAAGATGCTGCACCTGAGCATGCTTTGCAAGGTCTGTCTGCTGTTAGCTGGGCTGGAGAGAGCTCTGTGCCACTGAGAGGTCCACATCTCCCACATAAAGCCCAGGAGAGGACTCTCCATGCTTTTATCTGATGCTGTTCCTGCTCTGAACTGCTGACCTGGAAATATGTCCCATCCCTTGAGACTCTTCAATCAGTTTGGCTGGGAGCCACCCAGAAATTTTTGTCCATGCTGCCAATTTGTTTAGAAATGTCACGCTGAGAAAACCATCACTTTTCTGCCTGCAAGGTTCAGCTGAGTCCTCTTTTAACAACAGAGAGCTTAAAAGGCCAACCTCACTATTTTGCTGGATCAAAAGCATGGAGCTCCTGGATGTGCAGCTGGAAATGCAGCAACAGAGGAAAGCATTGGAAAAAGTCAGACACAGAGCTTGCATTGTCTGAGTCCCAACCCTCAAGCTGCTCAATAGCACATCTTGAGCAACACCAGCCAAAGGCAACCCAATGGGACATTACCTCAACACTGCAGCACCCCAGAGGAGACCAAGATTGGGTCGAATAAAACTCAGCATCCTGAAAAATGCTCCTGTGGGTAAATAAAGCCTACTTATGTGGCTGAGAGCAGTCAGGGTTGAGCTAACCAAACTGGTTAATTCTGGATGCTTCTGCATGTGCAAAAGAAATATTGCTTCATACACTTGGAGCAGGGCTCAGGGCTGGGAACACACTGCCTCCACCACCCCCTGATTTCATGATGCTCTCCCTGGGGAGAATGCACTGCCTTGGCACGGCCTCTCCTCCAGGACTTGGAAGGGCCATGGTATAAAAAGAGTGTTCTTGCTTCGAGATGTTTGTTCCTCCCATGCTTTGGGATGCATCACCGAGGAGGTGAGAGGTGCAGATGGCTGGTTTGGAGCTGAGCAGTGCCAGCTGGCAGGCTGGGGAGAGCAGGCACTGAGCTGTGCCCTCCCACTGCACCCCTGCAGCATAAATTCCTGTCGGAAGGCAAGGGCTGAGCCCTCTGTAGGCTTCTTAGTTGCTGTTCCTGCTCCCTCCTTGGAAAATGCTGTTCCAGACCCAGAATGTTGCAGTTGCTAGAAGCCCGCTTCTAATTCCTAGTTTATTTCTGGCCCTTTTTATATGCCAATGTTCTTCAAGCCCAAGTAGCTCCTCTTCTTTCTTAGTCAGAATAAGCACTCCCTGATGTCCTCCTGTAGAGCTTCCTTCCCCCATCTTTGGTTGCCAGGAGGAACAAGCCAAGATCTGTACTCTCATACTGGTAGAAGTGCCACTTCTACCCAGTGCCCATCCTGTGTCCCCTCCCCATGCTTGTCGCTAGGATGGCCGCTCAGGCTTTACACAGTCACAGAATCATAGAATCATTCAGGTTAGGAAAGACCTTTAAGACCCCCAAGTCCAACCCCACCCCACTGTGCCCATCACCACGTCCCTCAGTGCCACATCCCCACAGCTCTGGAGCACCTCCATGGATGGTGACCCCACCGCTCTCTGGGCAGCCCTGTGCCACTGCAGCACTGTTCTAATTCCAGTCCAAACTTTTTAAAGCAGAAGTGCCAACTGACTGCGATACAACAGGAAATCATACTCATTTACTCTCAAGGAGCACAGAACTGACTATGGAAAAGTACCATTTGTTGACCATGGTTTGCTGCATTACCTGCTTTGTGGCAAGTTGAATGACACATCCCAAATCTTCCTCTCCGAAAAGTCACCAAGGGGCTGCTCCAGCCTCCAGTCAGCAAACAGGAGCTTGATTCAAATCTTCAGTGGCTCTGGTTTACATCCAGCACAGCACCATCCCATTCTGCTGCTCGTTTCTGCAGGAGGAGACACTCACAGCAGTGGTGCACACAAAGGTAAAACTGCCTTCACTTTCAGCAGTTGCAACCAGGCAGTGGTCTAACAGGCACCAGCCTGCAGATTGCTTTTAATGCTTCAGCAATTGAAATAACTCAAAATGCCACAATTACATCCTATTAAAATTTGATATTTCGGCTGTATTTTAATTAAATATTAATTTACCTGACTTCTTGTTGAGGTAATTACAATTGGAGCACAGGAAAGCTCAGAACACTGGGTGTAACACATCCCTGCTGGATGCTGCTTGATTCATTTCTCCAGTCCCCCCACTACTAAAGTGATGCTGGTGTGGTAAAACTGCAGGCATTGCCCCAGCAACCTGCTGGCAAAATTGAGTTCACATGCTAATCTGCCTTTAACTTTTTGGGTAACTGTTGCTTAAAGATCTGCTGGTGTGCTTGTTTAATGGGCAAACATGCCTTGCTGCATTGACTGTCTGTCTCAGATAGACTTAAAATCTCTCACCTGAGGACATTCCATCTCTGTGTTGTTCTGGGGTTGCAGCATCCCTGCACAGCCAAGAGGGAATGACACACCTCGTAGGTATTTGTCAGCTCCTGACAGCTCCAGAGCATGAGCTCAGAGCGTGGGTAAAAGCCAAAAGCAGGAGGCCTGGGACTCGAAGAAAAATGAGGGAGAGACAAAACAGTCAATAGCAACTTCACAGGCACAAAGAAATGAAAGCATATTTTGTTACAGCAACTCAGAATCAGTGAATCGTTGGAGCTGGAAGGGACCCTTAAAGGCCATCTGGTCCAACTCCCTGC